CTACCTCGGCTGTTTGCAGGAGGAAGCAATCTCACACCAGATACACAAGATCTTAAAAGCTTGCTCTTTGATCAATGCCAGGTTCTCCAAGTAGCTTTCCAGAGGGTATTATTTCTGCTGCTGCAGTAATTAAGGTTGCGCAGCCGTTAGTGGAAGGGTGCGAGCTGAGCACGACGTGCCGCTTGTGATTATCGGTGCGGGGCTGTCAGCCAGTAATTAAAAGCGCAGCTGCTCAAATGTACATTTGCTGTTCAGGTGCACGCTCAGAAATGGCACCACACATGTAATGCAAAGGCAGCACGTACAAACAATTGCCCTTCAATTATGAATATTTGGATTTTGAGCCTTTGTGGGTCATTAATAAATGTTATTTAATTACTAAAGAAAAACAAAGCAGAAGAAATGCATCAGGAGGTGGAAGCATCGTGTTACTTGACACGGCCTTCCAGCCTTCTGCTGCCTTTCCCTCCTGATTGTCCCTGCTTTATTTTTAAAGGGCGCAATGTCACCGACTGATTGAAAAATGGCAAAAATTATTCCTGTACACAAAAGAAGCCCTGCCAGGTCAGTGAAGGATGATCCATCAGTCTCAAGAAGGTTTGTCCTACGTGCAGTGAAATTTTCAGGCACACAGTGTCCAGATAAATCACCCACGCTAAGGCACTTGCTTTTTACTAGGTTTTTTTTCTGCATTCATGTTGGAAGACCTGCCTTTTGCTCAACGCCTGACTTCCAAGGATGTTGATAAAGGCATCCAGCCACTACCTTGCTGGCATCGTCTGTAAAGGCCTGACCTGACTGGCATGTTATAGCAGCATCATACAGTCACAGACTTCCAAAAATCCCTTATTCCAGCCTGCTGCCTTGCTTGAGGGCTGTCTCGAGGCTAGCAGGTACTGAAAGTGGTCCTGCCAGAGGCTGAGAGCAGAGTATCAGCCATCCCGCACCGCACTGGCGGCGGATTCAGCTCACGTGAGTTCAGCCCTCTGTGCTCTCAAGGGTTTTCTGTGGTCTGGTTGTCTGGACTCCCCTTTCTGCTTGCTGGCTAAAAAAGCAGTTCTTCACCTGATAGTATGTTAGATGTCTGCCTTTGGATGTGATGTACCATGACCAATGGTTTTAAACCAAAAGAGAGCAGATTTAGACTAGATAGAAAGAAGAAATTTTTATGAGGGTGGTGAAACCCTGGCACAGGTTGCCCAGAGAGGTGGGAGAATGCCCCATCCCTGGGAACATCCAAGGTCAGGGTGGACGGGGCTCTGAGCAACCTGATCTGGTTGAAGGTGTCCCTGTTCATTGTAGGGTGTTTGGATTAAATGGCCTCTAAAGGTCCCTTCCAACCCAACCCATTCTATAACTCTATGATTTTGTGACCTGGAACTGCCTCTTTCCCCCCTGTCTTCAATTTATCCCTTTGCTTTCCCAGTGTCTGAAGCCAAGTGAGATGAATCCCACTGTTTTGGGGAGGTCAGAACCAGCTCCCCAGGATGATTATTCCCCTAATTACTTTTGAAACGGGTGGAAGTGTCTCCAGTCCCCTGAAGATTCGCGACCAGAGCAGGAGTACCCCACCACCACCCCCTTGCTTTTCAGCTGCAAGTATTAGTAGATGCTCTTGCATCCGCTGCCCTGCAGATCAGGCACGTTGTAAGCCAGCACCTCTGATTCTGTAAACAGGGTGCAAAACTGGGCCAGTAGGGATTTCCACCAGAGAAATGCAGGGCGGCCCAGCTTTGCTCACCCATTCCCTACTGCAAATAGAATAATAACATTTGCAGTGTTTATTAGCCACTTCATATACCAAACTGCTGGTTTGACTAGTCTTGTAAAAGGCTTAGGGTGTCACCTGAGGTTTTAGGCTTCTCCATCCTTCTCCAGTCCACACCAGATTGGATCTACAGGTACTTCAGGCCAGGCTTGGTCCTGTTGGTGCTGTAGCGGAGCCCAGGAGTGAGGCAGAGGTGCCCAGATGTCACAGGGCAGGGTCGGTGATGGAGGTGGAGATGCAGATGGAGATGGAGATGGAGGTGGAGATGGAGGTGGAGATGGAGATGGAGGTGGAGGGTGCCCACCCCGTTCAGGGCTTTATTCCTTGTTCCTAGATGCCCTCGCCCGGGACAGCGCTGACAGCAGCAGGGCAATGCACATGCGATGGGGTTGGAGCTGCAGCTCCTCACCATCCCATCTCTCCAGGGAGCTGGCCATGCGCTGAGCCCACGGTGTCCATGGCTCTACCACCGGGCCTCCCACCAGGGAGTGAAGGCTTGGAAGAAAAGCCGGCTCAGACCAGGAGCATGACTAGGGTGAGAAGAAAGGAGTGCAGGCGTTTCAACATTTTGCCAAATGCCCCCAAGTTTTGTGTTGTTCATGAGCGAATGGTCTAAAGCTCTGTCCCGGTCTCCACGCCACAGCAAGCTTCCCAGCAAGAGCAACAGCCCACGGAGGGAGGTTTTGCCATGAATAAAAACACCGCTTTATCCTATTCAGAGTCCTTGAGCCGCTGGAAGATGCCACGGTCTTCTCTTGCTTGTGGCTACAGAAAGCATTGGCTCCAGGGCATTGCTGGATCTAGGCAGAAGCAGTTCACCAGACCCTGTCAGGACTGGCATATATTGCAAAATTCCAGCAGTTTTGTTCAAGTTGCATCTAAGGAAAAAAAAAAAAAGGACAAAAAATGAAGAGGGGGAGTCTGACGGCGTAGAAGCATCCTAGTTCAATTTTCCTTTCAAATTACTTCCTATTTCGATTGTATTCTGTGTTTATTGGATTCAAACAGAGCTGGAGTCAAACAACCTTGGTGATCAAAATAGATTGGCAGGCTGAGGGGAGCTATTTTCTTGGAGATTTTCTGTATTTCCATGTTCCATCCCAGGTTAGAGTGAAAATCAAGTTACCAGTCACAAAAATCTCCATGAGAATACATTTCCTCGTTCTGCACTGCCCACCTCCTCAGCCATACGAACAGGCTGGTTAGATTCCAGCAAGAGCTGACGTGGTAGGAATTGCCTTTCCCTTTCGATTCAGATGAACACAGAAGGGAATACAAACAGCTCATGCAGTGGTTGGGACAGGAGGCTGCCATGATACTCGTCTCTCTTCTGTGAGCCCAGCAGAAACATCTACAGGTCAGGTCAGAAGGGAAGGATGCCAAGGCTGAAAAGATGTTGAAAATCATCTATGCTGAGACTGTCAGCAAACTGGAAATTTTTAATCACGCAATTGGAAGGCTTATGGCAACAACACCTCCAGAGTCACAGCTCCCCCCGCCCCGCCACTGCGTGATGAGCCTGTCTCCAGCATCCAGGCCAGCCGTGGATGCCGTGGTTAGCAGCTGCTCAGAGATACGGGCCAGCTTTATAAAACACCTCCTTGCTTGAAGTCACCGTGGCAGTGCATGATGCCAGTGAGGCAGTAGGTGCAAACGCTGTCTTGTTGCCCTTCACCTCTTGCACCAACTGTCCTTGGCCCCAGAGGAGCCCTGGTGTCTCCAGCCATCCAGAGCGTACTTCAGATCCCCTCAGGCATAGGCTGAGTCTCCATATGCTGCCCCAGGCTTCTGGGGAACCCAAGGAGCATCCAAGGAGCAGGGAAAAAAAACATTTAAGAAACCAGCCAGTTATTGAAACTAAACCACTGGGGGTGAAACCCAGTGCCAGCATAGGCAGGACAGGCATGTTGGGTCAAGCCTGGGATTTCTGCTCCAAACCATGCTTCCCACCGGCTGTCCCAGCCAGCCACGCATTCTTCTTGTCACTTCTTACCTAAGGTACAGGACACCCAGTTTGCTCTCGGCTACATACTTCAGCGCTCATCCTTGCCTCTCCCGATGGCCCAGTTTCTCCTGGCTCAGAGTTCTTCCCTCTCCCCATCACTCTCTCTTTCTTCCCATTAGACTTTCTTTTTTTTTGTAAGCCACTTCAAATGGCTTTGCGATGCAGGACAGAATCTTGTCTTTCAAGGGCTGCAGTACCCATTCTCTCAGACCAGAGAGGAGGGGACATCAGCGTAACTTCGTATTTAGCCAGCGTTAATTCAGCCGGCAGCACACCAGGGATCCAGATGCTGTGTTCAGCTGGGGGCAGCGGGGACGCTCAGCAGCGTTGCTGGTGCTGCTGAGCCTGTGCCGGGGCATCAGGCGGCACCGGAGCGGGTCTCGTCTCTGGGGAGCTGTCAGTGCCCGCTGCGACCACCTGGTTTGTGTCGCCTTGTGAAAAACCAGCTGCAGCAAGAGGGAGGGTGTGTTCCTGGGTCTCCAGGGACTGAGAAAGGCATTGCTCTGACTTCAGGTTAAAATGCAGTTCAAGCTTGAGAAAACGGGATGTGGGCAATGCCTCGCTGCGAGGAGAGAGGGCTAAGTATCTTCGATAGCAAAAAGGTTCAATTAATAAATATCTCCTTCTTCCTGAGTTCTCCCCCAACAATTATATATGGTATGAAAAGAAATTTTCCAAGGGTGGCAGCAGGACAGTGCCCTCCTGACACAGGTACAGCCCTGCTGTACAGAAGGCAGGACAGAGGGACACCAGCAGTAACAGGCAGAGAACAGTTCAGCCGGCGCTTCACGGACACAGCCCATCCGCCGTACTTCCAGCTTCTCGGCATGGCCGGCCGGGGTGGGGGGGCTGGTCCCCGCTCCCCGCACTCAGCCGTCGCTTCAGATGCAGACGTGCCCACAGCGTGCCTGCGGACATTGCTCCCCACCCCACTGTGTAGGTTTTCATCCACCTGCCCATCTTCTTGTTCCACCTTGAGACAGCCAGGTTAACACTGCTGCCAGCGTCACCCTGTCCAGCGTGTTCCCCCCCAAGATCACAGAATCAGAGGGTGGTGGGGGTTGGAAGGGACCTCTGGAGATCATCTAGGACCTTCCTCTGGGCTCAGCCCCGGTCCCTGCAGCCCCTCGCAGCCAGGAGGACGAGCATGCGTGTCCTGCTAGGTGGAAGGACAGGGCCTCCTCTATGGAGGGGGAATAAATAAGGGCCTGGGGGGCTCAGTAGGCGATGAAGGAGTAATGAGAATAAATTGCCAGCAGTAATTAACCCGTGCCATCCTGACTCTCTCTCTGCAGCGGCTACGACTTCGACTATGACTATTACAGAGACGACTTCTACGACAGGTGAGTAGGGGAGGCATCAGCCAAAGGGGCTTTCTGTGGGGCAAGATCTTCCCTGCAGCCGAGCTCCTGCCATGGGGAGCGAGGTGGGGTGCAGGGTGCTCCATCCCAGCCCTGTGCAGCGGGGTCTGGTGGCCAGGCTGGGTTCCAGCTGTGGCACCCGATGCCCAGCATGGCAGGGCTGGGGGTGCTGGAGGGCTGCTTCAGCCCCCCTCCCCCTTCCGCCCCATCCTTCTCCCCAAATCCTTCCCACCCCCCATCCCCGCTCCAGGCTCTTCGAGTACCGGGGCCGAGTCTCTCCGGTGCCCAGGGTGGTTCCTGTGAAGCGGCCGCGGGTCACCATCCCCCTCGTCCGGCGCGTGAAGGCGACGCTCCCCGTCAAGCTCTTCGCCAGGTCGGCTGCCATCGCCAACAGCTCGGCCAAGTTGAAGCGTGAGTGTGTGCGTGGGGTGCAGCGGGGCAGTGTGGAGACTGGCGTGCGCAGGGACCTCCTGTCCCCAGGCATTCACCCACAGGGCCAGATACTCCAAGAAAAAAACCTGAAAAAAGCCAGAACATCTGGAAACAACAGCCCAAGGGAGGGCCTTTCAGAAGCCTATGGGCTGCAAATCATGGAATCATACTGTGGTTTGGGTTGGAGGGGACCTTTAAGACCATCTGGTTCCAACCCCCCTGCCATGGGCAGGGACATCTTCCACCAGCCCAGGTTGCTCAGAGCTCCATCCAACCTGGCCTTGAACACTGCCAG